AGCTTACCTTAGGCCTATGTCAATGCTATTCACAGATATGGCATATTTATGATTTTCCTTTTTAGCACAGTATTTTCCGAACAGTTTTTTTATTTGCTTGATATTCCCTGTATATACCTTTCCAAATGACATACCTTCCCTTAGTTTTGTGAATCTCTCAGTGTGTTGCCAGCCAGTAGGTGTTCTGTCAATTTCACGTACTCAACCCATCGGTTGGAGATCTTGCTCCTCATCCTGTCCTTGTAAGTCCACTGTACAGATGTCCTATCGAGTCTTCCTTCATTATCAAAACTCCTTTTGTTTTCTCTTGTGTTGGATTACATGCCTTCCTTGTTATTGGTTTAGCCCTTCAGTTGAGTAGAGTATATCTTCCAGAAATTTCCTTACAGAGTACCTGGGAAATACAAGGGGATTCCAATGAGTTCGTAAGAAAATGGAATTAAAAATGAGTATTTTGGTACAAAATTTTTTTGAAATCCATGTATAGTTTGTTCATCATATGCATTTCTCTTGAGTATTTTTGGGGACCATTTGTATGTTTTTTGAGGTGTTATATATCTGAAAATAACTTCTCTATTTCTCATTCTTTTTTCCATCTGGCTGGTTGCAGAATTCCAAGTTGGAAATAATTTCTGGCCGGCGCCGCGGCTCACTAGGCTAATCCTCCGCCTTGCAGCGCCGGCACACCGGGTTCTAGTCCTGGTTGGGGCGCCAGATTCTGTCCCGGTTGCCCCTCTTCCAGGCCAGCTCTCTGCTATGGCCCAGGAGTGCAGTGGAGGATGGCCCAAGTGCTTGGGCCCTGCACCCCATGGGAGACCAGGATAAGTACCTGGCTCCTGCCATTGGATCAGCGCGGTGCGCCGGCTGCAGCGCGTGGGCCGAGGCGGCCATTGGAGGGTGAACCAACGGCAAAGGAAGACCTTTCTCTCTTTCTGTCTCTCTCACTGTCCATTCTGCCTGTAAAAAAAAAAAAAATTAAAAATAATTTCTTCTCACAACATTGAAGGAGTTGCTGCATTGCCTGTATCTGAAAACTCTGCTGTTAAAAGTGCAGTGGAAGTCTGCCACCTTGACCACTTTTCCTCTGGGTTTCTAAGATCTCTGTTTCTCCAAGTCCTGTCATTTCACGGTGTGGTACCATGGTGGGTTCTTCATTCATCCACAGTGTTGGTTACTGAGTGGGTCCTTTTCTAGGAACTCAGCTCTTCAGCTCTGGGAAGGTTTTTAAATACTTTCCTTCCTTGATTTCTCCTCCTCTATTTCACTGATTTCTCTGTCTAGAACTTTTTTTTTTTTTTTTGTGGTAGGAGATTTTGAAACTTCTTATCATTTGCTTCCTTGTATTTTCTCTCCTATTTTCTATTGTAAAAGCATCCTCCTGATTGTTAGATGCTATCATCTTTTTTACTTTTCAAGAGTTCTTTTTTCTCTAAATGTTTTTTCCAAAGCATTTTCTTGTTTCACAGGTGCAAAAAGGTCTCTCCGTTCTCTGAGTATCAATAATTTTTTTTCTTCTCCTGGAAAGCCTATTTCCTCCAACTTGCCTTCATTCCATTTGCTTTTAAATTCGTTTTGTTTTTGACGTTGGGTGCTTTTCTTAACTGTCTTATGGCTCTTGGCTCTCTGCTCATAAGTTCGTTCTTTGGAAGCTGTCTGCATGGCGTCTAGCTTGTCAGCCATGTGTTGCACTGAAGGAAGAAGCCCGGGACATGAATCTGGGAAACTGCAATGGACGACAGGTCAGGATCCTCAGGGACTTCCTTAGTTCTGCCTAGAAGCGCTGTCCCTAACTGTTGGCCTCTGGGAGACCAGTAAAGGAAGAGGCCAGGGTGCTAAGCACTCAATATAAGCTTTCTGTTCATCCCCATCTTGAGAATGGTGCCTCTAACGTCTGTTTTGCCTCTAGTGTTTATGCCAGGTTGGTGGTGTGCAGGGGGCAGTTTGATAAATCAGTATAGGGGTTATGCATAGCAGACCACATTTTAAAGAGAATTTCTACCAATCCTCCTGTCTTATCTTTTATTATACTTGAGGTGTATGTGAGGTGGGGTGCATTTTTAAATATTTGACTCTCATTGGGATTTTAGTTGAAGCAGACTTTCAGCACAGCAAAATTGAGGGATTTTTTTTCCCTCTCTGTGAGATGATAATTTTTATCAGATTGGGAGCATCCTTAGCCATTATCTTTTTTTTTTTTTTTTTTAAGATTTATTTATTTATTTAAAAGGCAGTTAGAGAGAGAGAGGTCTTCTATCCACTGGTTCACTCCCCAGATGACCACAACAGCTAGAGCTGCGCCAATCTGAAGCCAGGAGCCAGGAGCTTCTTCCTGGTCTCCCATGGGCTCCCACGGGGTGCAGGGGCCCAAGGACTTGGGCCATCTTCTACTACTTTCCCAGGCCATAGCAGAAAGCTGGATCAGAAGTGGAGCAGCTGGGACTCAAACTGGCACCCTATGGGATGCTGGCACTGCAGGTGGCAGCTTTACCTGCTACACCACAGCACCAGTCCCCATCATCTTTTCAAATATAGCTTCTACCTCATTATCTTTTCTGAACTACTTTTGAGAGCCTATGTTAAAATGTTTTATCATGTTTCATATGTCTCACACTTTTTTCTCTAATTTTTAAAGTTTGCTTATGTATTTTCATTTATTTGAAAGGCAGAGCAACACAGAAAGAGGAGGGGGCAGAGAAGAGACTGGCTCATTCCCCATATGCTCAAAACAGCTGGGTCTGGGACAACCAGAAGCCCAGAACTCATCCAGGTCTCCCATGGGTGGCAGGGGCCCAGGTACTTGAGTCATCATCTGATGCCTTTCTAAGGTGTGCATTAGCAGGAAGCTGTATCAGAACTGGAGGCAGGACTAAACCCTAGCAATCCAACATAGGATGCAGGCATGCTGAGCTTAGCTTGCTGTACCACAGGATCCATCTCTATTTTTTTTTTTTTACCTATCCTTCCTTGTGTCTAGTCTTCCATTTATTGTTCCAATTTACTAACCATGTTTTCTATTGTGCCTAAGTCAAGAACTGTTGTATTTAGTACTGAACAAATGCCCATTTGATTGTTTCTTTTTTATCTATATATTCTAGAGGTCAGTTGAATTCCCTACCTTTCAATTTATTTTCTCTTTTTCCCTATTTTCTTAAATATACAAATCATTGTCATTATAAAGTTCTTGTTAGCTGACCTCAAAATTGAGATGATCTGAGAGTGTATCTGGTTTGCCTTTGTTTTGTCTTTCTGCTTTTGTTCATGTGCTCTGCCCATCCTTGGCAAGTTTTCATTTTATGCTGGACATGGTCTTGAAAAAAGTATAGACAGACACTGCTGGTAGTAATATATTCTTCCAGAGAGGGTTCACTGTCTCTCTATCTGCTGGCAAAGAGTAGTGAGTGGATGCTCCTTTTAATCCGATCAAGGTATTTTGGAAATGAGGCTGCTTTGGAGCCCTGGTGAATCTCAGACTCTCTCTAGTTTTTACCTGCTCTGCAGCATCCTTATTTGAAATCATGGTATGATGTGTGAGTCCTCTTCCCATTACAGGTTTTAAACTCTTCCGTCATGTTCTCATGAAATTGCCAAAAAAGTCCACATGCTTGTCAGAGATTTAGCAAATGTTTTTAGTGTACAGCTGTAGCCTGTCTGATGCCACCCAACTCTATCCCGCTGCAGAGGCCCTTATAAGTTCAGTTATATTCTGTTTGTGCTGGTAAATGACAGATGCTCCTCTCTGAGTTGCTTCCCTGTTCCTATAGCAAAGCATCTGAGGCTGGGTGTTATGTGAACACGAGCAGTTTATTTAGCTCACGGTTCTGGAGATCCAAGAACCTGGTTTCTGCTCAGCTCCCATGGAGGCCACCTGCTGCTCAGCTCACAACAGAGAAGCACAAGGGGCCTTGCTTACAATTCACTCTCACACTGTGTTGGACCTTTGACTTTAATGAGGTGTACTATGAGAGTTAACAGTAAAACTTGTCTTCAAACTGTACTTCATACTTTGTGTGTCTGTGGGTGCAAATAGTTGAAATCTCTATTTAGTACAGAGTTGGTTGTTTTTATATAAAGTCAATTAAAAACGAATCTTAATGGAAAATGGAATGGGAGAGGAGAGTGTAGGAGGTGAGATGGGAGTGGGGGTTCGAGGGCGGGAATGGGGGGGAAGAAACACTATAGCCCTAAAAGCTGTACATATGAAATTTGTATTCATTAAATAAAAACCTTCAAAATAAGAAAATCTCACTCTCACAGTAACTAATCCAGTCCCATAAGACCTAACTCACCAAAGACATCTGACCTTGAGAGAGAGACACCGTTCCATTCTTGAGAATAGCATCCCTATAATCTAATTATCTCTTAAAAATTCCACCATCTCTCATGCTATTACATTGGGACTCCCATTTGGTGGGGAAGAACTGTATCTAAATCTTAGCTGCCTAAAGTTAAAAATGGCAGGGCAAAGTCACAACGTTTAAGATGTTAGCCTCTCCAGAGTGCAGCTCTTTCAATTCTTGATGCACAAGAATCTTCTGATACATTGGAATCCCATTTCTGCCTTCTGACTGGTTGACTCTGTGGAAGCACCAGGCTGCCGCTAGCTACTGTTCCCCACCTGGAATCAGAAGTCGGCAAGATTGAACCTGAACTTGTTATTTTGAGAATTGAGACTTTGATTTTTAAAATTGTTGGAGAATTAATCTGGTGAGGTGTCCAAGTGCTTAAAATCACAGTTGAAATTAGTGAGGATGATACACCTTTTGCCATGCCAATTAGCCAGGGCACTTTCATAAAACATTGGAATAATATGGTGTGTATCTATAGATTTTATTTTTTAAATATTATTTTATTGAGCTTTAGTGTAGACCTCTAGAAGAGAATTTCAATTTTAATGTTAGTGTATTTGGACTTGTGGAGAAATAAAGATATATTTTGTATGTAAGGAGTGACCAGTGTATTGTATGGTCTATTGATATGCTGTATGCTATTTTATTTTGCAGCATCTAACGTTTACGAGGGAATTTGATTCAGATTCCCTTAGACATTACAGCTGGGCTGCAGACACCTTAGACAATGTCAATCTTGTCTCAAGCCCTATTCATTCAGGGTAAGTAACCCAACTGTCACTTATCTTGTCCTACTAGGTTAATATTGCACTGATTACATGCATTTATAACTTTAGATTGACAAACTTCACATATGTTAATACACTCATATGATAAATATATATTCATTAGTGAGTACATATGACAAGCATTTGTAAATCATCAGTAAATATTTTTCCAAGCAAAAGATCTGTGTATCTATTTCTATTGATAAATGTATACCATTGGAAAAAATAATCAAATTGGTACATCAACATTTCTTGGTTATTCTGATTACCTAGGTGTTTGATTTTTCTTTTGAAAAATTGAACATTTTCCTCATTTTACTAATAAAATGAATCTTTCTGGGTATCTGACTTTTCTTTCCAACAAAAATTAAATATATATATTTCTGTTAATTTACCACATTGATTTTGTATTTTGCTTCTAATTGTAGGTGAATTTCATTCTAATATTTAGTTTTAAAATAAGCTGTAAGCTCTTCTTTTCTCATTTCTTTCCACATAAGAAGGATATAGGCCTTTCATTTGACAAATGATTTTTTCTTTGTTACATTTAAACTTGAAATACAAACTCGAAACATCTGATCATTTGCTACCTTCTGTATTCCTAAAATAAAATTGCAATTAAGTTGTATTATGAATATAACATAAATAGTCGGCGCCGCGGCTCACTAGGCTAATCCTCTGCCTTGCGGCGCCGGCACACCTGGTTCTAGTCCCGGTCAGGGTGCCGAATTCTGTATATAACATAAATAAAATAAAGAAATAAAGAAAAAAATTTACGTGTTTAAATATACAAGAGTACTTCAAAAAGTTCATGGAAATGGACTTAAAAGATGTTTATTTTGATGCAGAATTTTTTGAAATCCATGTTTCTTAGATGTCTTCAAGAAATTCAAGAGAAATATGTGTTATGCAAAAACTATCCATGGATTTCAAAATGTGTTTGCACCAAAATCTGTTAATTCCATTTCCCATGAGCTTTTTAAAGTCCCTGTGTCTGTACCCCAAAGGATTTGTAGTAAAAACCTCAACAAATGGCTCCTCATTGCTGCCTTCCTGGTCAGTGGTGTGTCACATAGGTGGCTAGAAGATGACTTGCTTCCATTACTGAACTGATGAAACAGTGCATTTTTAAATATTAGATCCTTTACCTGTGTGTGCTTCAAACTTGGGATAATTGATATCTGTAGAAACAGTAACAAAATAATTTTAAAAAGTGGTGAATGTCTCAAGGTATTTTTGCCTCTGTAATTGGCATTGAGGCCATAAATTAGTTTTGATCAAGGATAAGGGGAGATTAGTTTGGAATCAAAGAAGTCAACAGTAATTAACACTTGTGAACTGTCATATAAAGTATTATTACTGCTAATTAAAACAAATTGGATATAGTAGCTAACATTTATCTAGTCTGTTGATGTTTCTGACATTGCACTAAATTCTTTATGTGTATTGTGTCATTTAATATTTATCTGAACCTTCAAATGACACTAAAAGGTAAATACTCCTCATTATCCCCATTGGGGATAATGAAAAGTCTGAGAATTGAATGCTGCAGGTTATGTAAAATATCATTATAGAATTTTGCCTCATAATTTTTACAAACATAATGCAGTATAATTCAAATGGAAATAATTTACATAAAAGTATCTTATAAATTGTAAACTCCTGATGGTCTTTGAATATTAACATTGCATTTCTTTAACTCAGAAAAACTTGAGTGATTAAAGTAATATTAATTTTTAAACTACTTCAAATATTTGTGTGGTTTATATTATATATATATGTGGGTCTGAAAAAATATCAAATTTGAGAAGGAAAGTATAAAACACTCAGAATACATTTAGCAAACGGTTGGGTTTAAGAGTTTTTTGAATCAAGCTTGGTGACTTAGCCACCATGTTACAAAGACTTAGAAACATCACTTTGCACTGTCTCCATGTGAAAGAAAAGTGCCAGGGATTAGTTTGGTAACTGAGAAGTTGAAGAATCCTAGGATAATCAAATGAGAAATCAATTTTCTCATACGTTGGAGACAGTGATATATTGGAACATGCAGACTGGCTTTCCTCCTCTTGAACTTTATTGAAGACATTACATGTGAAATGGAACAAAAGTAATGGCAGGTGGTGTAGCCTTGGTGTCCGCCTGGACATAGTTCCCTGATGCCAGATCTGTGGCGGAGGTTCTACAGCTGTGTAAGGCAAATACTTCTCCAGGTTGTCCCACAAATGCCAAACGCTATGGTTTCATTTTCTGATGGTTTTTATTTTTCCTTTGCTTGTCATTGACATTTTCTGTTGCTTGCTTCTAATTATCTTACATTAATTTTTCCCATTTGCTTTCTAAATTATTTTGCAGCTATTCTTCTCCACTTCCTCAGTATGATTCAAGGTGATAACTGTGTCCTTTATGTGACCCATCCTTTTTGTATCTTTAATTTTTGTGAATTTTCCCCACAGTTAGATTGTGTCAATGTCTGTAGTATTTCATTCTGCTGTTCCTACAATTAGAAACATTCATAAATATAATTTGTAGAATTCACAATAAATAATTTGTAGAATTAGGATAATTTATAGAATTCATGTGGTAGCTTGAATATTTACAAGATACAAATATTATTTAACATCACCTTTTAATTTCTTTTTATAAGGTATGTTGCATGCCTTTTTTTTCCTTTTGCATAGATTATATAAGGAATGAGTTTGGAAGACAAATTATTCCAATTCATAATGTTTTAGTTAAGAGCACCCATATCCTGCTTAACATAGACTCCCACCTTTCTTCTGTTTGTTGGCCTTGTGATGTTGAAAACCTTAGAACAATAAATCATTGTTCATGAGTACCAAACTATAGACTGTGTGCTATGCAGAATGCAGAGAGAGATTCTTCTACTTTGTCGTTCAAATCATCTGAGCCATGTTACTTTGTCCACTTGGTTCTGATACCCTTTGTAGCCAGGATGTTTTTATATTGACACTCATAACCTTTATACTCTGCCTGCAGGCTGCTCAGCTACAGTCATCTGCCTACACATCCATCTATCCCTCCACCCATTCATCTGTCCATCTGTGTCCGTCCATCCATCAACCCGTCATTAGTAACCAAGTCTCACCTATGCATTTTATAAGCACATGTAGCACACCAGTTGTGTCCGTGAATTGATTCCCTAAGCATTTACTGTATTGTGTGGTAGAACTTTGCTTGGCTCTGCACATCAAGCGGTGAATAAGACAGACTGGATCTGAATCACTGTATATTGAGACTTAACTGTTGCCAGGGCGACCATTCCCTCTCCGAGGAAACACTCCAGTGTGTGTTTGTACTAACACAACTGAATTTCTCAACACAGACTTTGTCTTGAATTATTTCTAGTCCATTCTCTGCTACTGTTGTTCCCAATGACAAATTGATTTTAACTACTAAGTGCGGGGAAAGATCGGAGTGTGTCTTGGGCTTCTTTATAATGTTATCACCTTATTCTCATTACTAAATAGCAGTAGTTGTTAAGTAGGTATGTCTAAGAAAATTTTTGGCACTCAGAGCAATTTAATATGTGCCTCATATTGTTAAGCACTGGAAACAAATCAAGTGGACTCTTGCCTAAGTAAGCAAATATCTTTGTATTTGAATAGCGAGAAATGACTCTTGTTTTCTTATTGAAGTTGAGTCGGTCTTTTCTCCTCTGGTTTCACTGCCTCAAAACAGATGGAATTTTATCAAAGACAGATTAATTCATAAAATGTATGAGTTTTATCCAAGCCAATTTTATCAGAAACAGATTGATCAATTAAAATGGTTCAACCCACAGTGAGTAACAGGGTATGAAGGTGAGTTCACCTTACTTATGATCTGAGCTGGTTCTGGAAATCTGATTAACTGAAAATTGATCCCCTCATCCTATCACCTGACTCTAGGGGGACCACAGGCTAATTTGTTTTGTTGAAAAGGTCAGTCTTTCAAGGTCAAGAATTGTCAGTCTTCAGGAGAGGATCCACAGAGAGGAAGTTCATGCAGGGTCTTAAAATCTATTTGCAGGGTTTTAGAACTTTTTAGATAAAAGAAACACTTTTGATGGATGGGGTTATTACTTTCTCCAAAAGTACTTTCAGAATTCAAACCATTTTCTAATTCTCAAAAATTGGGGCTGTTTTAATAAGAAGTATATTTTCAGATGTGGCAATTATAATGCAAGGATATGTGTTCTTATCCCCTTAAGCAGCCTGCACTCTGCTGTCTGCTGGGCTCACTTACTTAGCAGAGCCCTTGGTGACTCCTGGATCCCTCATGCATGACAAAAAGCAGTCATTCCAGTGTGTTCTTACCCGGTGTGACACAATGGATTTCTTAAGTTTCCATGTGTACCTGTGAGGAGTTTTTTCCTTATTCACTTCAGTATAAAGGCTAGTGACTGAATTATGTAAATTAAAGATTTTTTTTTCTAAAAATATAAAAACTTCCTTTTTTTGGCACTGCTTTATATCCATGTTCAACTATAGTTGATTTCAAATTGCTTTTAAGGTCATATTTATACTAGAAAGATGTAATCCCTTTCCATCAAAATCACCTTAGTAAAGCTAGGCATTTTCTGCTTTTATTCTTATATTCTGCCTCTTTCTAGTAAAAATTAGAGTGTTGGTATGATGAACAAGGCGTTTTATGAGCTGGATGCCTTAAGACATACTGTGGAGTTTCATCCTACTTGTAGGGTAGAAAGTTCTGTAGTCAGTAGCATGTGGCAAAAACCATGTAGAGTTCAACTTGACCTTTCAATATACCTGAAACTACTCAGAAAGACCACAGACAGTGTTGAGTATTTTAGTTTTGGGTAACTATAAATGAGAAGCCTTTCAATGGCCAGTTCCTATTTCAGTTTGGAAACAGTCACAATTCCTTTGAGTATCTGGTAGAGTAGATGGCTTCTGATGGGGAACCATGGTCCACTAAAAATCTGTTGTGTGCCAATTTTTCCCAGGGCACAAGTTAAATGCATGTCTGATGTGACTCCACCGTATTCACTTCCAGTTGATCTTTAAAGGGAGGAAACGGTAGCTATGTTATCTATCACTTGCCTTCATATTTGATTTCTAACCCAGCTGTAAAGCCGGTTTATTTCCATCCTTGATTTGGCCTCTGATCTCCCTGCAGGTTTCTGGTTAGCTTTATGGTGGATGCAAGAGGTGGCTCCATGAGAGGCAGCCGGCACCATGGGATGCGAATCATCATTCCTCCACGCAAGTGTACAGCCCCAACCCGAATCACCTGCCGTTTGGTAAAGAGGCATAAACTGGCCAACCCACCCCCTATGGTGGAAGGAGAGGGATTAGCCAGTAGGCTGGTAGAAATGGGTCCTGCTGGGGCACAATTTTTAGGGTAAGTTGTTTTGTCAATTTTATTCTTGGCCCTTCTACCACAATGTTGATTTTCTTTACCCTTGTTAAGAAGTTAACAGTTGGAAGTCCTTAGTTGGACCTGACTGAGTATATTGTTAGTGAGGTGTCAAAGGTCACAAAGCTGTATGAGTCTGTGAAAGACTAACAGGCTGATCTGTCCTGAACTCAGCTTGCTGGTCAAGGCTTTTACTAACAGAGACGCATGTTTTCTGCTCAGCAAGTGCACGGAATCCCAGTGGCGCCCTTAGAAGTCAAGGCACCATTCAAAGGACAAAATCAAAGACGCTGGAATTATCTCAGCATATTGTATAAATAACTGCTTTGGGGACCTGTGTTTTTAAAGATATTTTTTAAGGAGCAATCCTTTGTGATATGGTATTTTACAAAAAGGGAAAAGAATAAATATAATTCATTGTCTGAGGTGGCACTTGGGTGCAAATCAGGCAGGCTCTGTCGTGACTGGCAGCGTGTTCACAATCTCCCCTTCTCGTTTCTCTTCCTGCTGCATGGATGTTATTCAGTAAACTGCATCTTCCTACCAATCCTCCCCCTGTAAATGAGGGTGAGAGCTTGGTTAGCCGAATCCTGCAGCTTGGGCCTCAAGGAACAAAATTTATTGGGTAGGATCTTTAATAGACAAGATACAGAATGTCACGATTTTTTTTTTCCATTTGCAATTTTTTTCTGTCACACCCATGGTCTTATTCTTGTCTTAAGTTTATTTTTTTCAGTTTTTTTTAAAAAATGCTTTCAGTTGATGTGTGTCACTGAAAGAAACAAATCATAGTGGCTTGACTTGATGTAGCACTGCTGCCTACCTGTGCTTTTCAAGCATGTGAAATTCTCTGCAAGCATTCTGCTTTCATAACTTTGTGCTTTCGTAAGCCTTTCTTTAATTTGAAGTGTTTCTTCGGAATATGAAACGTTTTAAGACAGAATGACAGTCTTTAGTTTTAACCCAGTATAGCTTAGGTATCTGTAGGCTTTGAGTCAACATTTGCTATGAATGATATATTTGTATGTGTATAAATATATATATATATGTATATTTGTGTGGAATTAGATCTTCACAAAAAGTACTTTTGCCTACTATACAATTTTATGGACTTTGAGAGGAAAAAGTCATCTGTAACTAAACTGATTTTGAAGAGTTGGGAATATCAAGATGTTAAATTACTAAAAAGTTTATTAGGTAGCTGAGACTATTGCTTTGAAGTTATTAAATCATTTTGTTTTGTTTTGTTGAAGCTGAAATATGTTGGTATGTGTTGTTTGTTCGCTTGTCTGTCTGGTTTGTGTACTTGCCTTGGCAGTCTGCATGAAGGAACTGGTTATGAAAAGTTAATGCCTGGCTTTCACCTTGGTCAAAGACTTTGTTCATATCTTCCCTCCAGTATGGTTGAATGTCATACACAATGCCACATTCTTTAAGTATTTACAGAGACAGTATCTGACACATTAACCTGCAAAGATTGTATCTTTTGCACAAAGAAAAAGTAAATAAAATTTGATTTCTGATTATCAGGGGTAGATAAAAATAATGGTAAATTTCTTAACTCTTGAAACTTTTAACATCATTAGGACTTGTTTATTTTGTTTTTACCTAATAAAGATATAATAAAAATTGAAATCTCTAATTTGAAGTAGTTGATAATTACTGTGCCAAAAGTAAAATTATCATATTTATTATCTCCAATTTAAGTGAATGCCTTCATCATTAATCTATTATGCATATGTTTTACTTATGTTACTTGATCAAATGACTATCCCTTTTTATGTTCTTACCTACTCAAGCCTATATCTTCTATTTATTACATGCACATAAATGCACAGACTAAGAAGTGAGGTTACATACAACCTCTGTAGGAGAATAATGATACTGTCTACTTAAATGTCACAAAATATAAAGCTGCACAATCCAACTACATAAACTGTGTGTGATTGTGGTCTGCTTACTTCCATTCATCTTTTTCAGTACTTATCCTATTTTAAAATTTAAAAAAAATGATTCTCCTGGCTTGATTGGCTTTCTTCAATTTGCAGCCATTCTTTTATATTCCTTTTCAAAAGGACACTGTCAAAAATATGTGATTACATGATCATTTCAAGCCAAGGAGTGATTTTTTTCAGAAAGTTTAAATATTCTATTCAGGTTACCTTAGAGCCAGGAAACTAAGTTGCCCACTGCCTGTTCACAAATTGGAAATCATAGAAATTGTGTGAACCATACAGGCCAGACAAGTCGTAGAAACTGACTGTTGGAGGGAGTAGATTGATAAACCAACTGTTTTCTTGTGAAGGGGAAAAAGTAGCAATAATTTTCCAAATTAAGACATTTATAGACTTTTCTTTTTTAAAGAAATGACTGTGTCCTTTTAAAACATTAGCATTTTTGTACAATATATTTACTGTGTTTTTTAAAAAATGGACCAACTTTCTAATGGCCTATTTTAATAATTTTTAATTCCTTGATTTAAAATTCCTATTTATTTGTGCTATTTTCCCCATTAAGTCCAATGCCTAACATAATAGGCCTTCAATAATTGTGAATGAATGAATGACGGCATGTTACCAGGCTTCTAATATTTTATTATTTAATTAGCAAATGATTCTGCAGCTTTGAAATCATTCCCAACCTTAGTGGCACCTCTGATTTTCAAATGGTTACTGTTAATAGAATAAGTTTAAAGCTGTGATGTTATAAATATATTTAATTTGATACCAAAATAATGTGGATTTTTTTCCAGCCCTGTCATAGTGGAAATCCCTCACTTTGGGTCCATGAGAGGAAAAGAGAGAGAACTCATAGTTCTTCGAAGTGAAAATGGTGAAACATGGAAGGAGCATCAGTTTGACAGTAAAAATGAAGATTTAACTGAACTGCTTAATGGCATGGATGAAGGTAATAGCCATGGCTCCTTGATTCAGTGTTTGTTTTTTTGTTGTTGTTGTTGTTGTTGTTTTTTTTTTTTGACAGGCAGAGTGGACAGTGAGAGAGAGAGACAGAGAGAAAGGTCTTCCTTTTGCCGTTGGTTCACCCTCCAATGGCTGCCGTGGCCAGCGCGCTGCAGCCGGCGCACCGCGCTGATCCGATGGCAGGAGCCAGGTGCTTCTCCTGGTCTCCCACTTGGGCCATCCTCCACTGCACTCCTGGGCCACAGCAGAGAGCTGGCCTGGAAGAGGGGCAACCGGGACAGAATCCGGCTCCCCGACCGGGAGTAGAACCCGGTGTGCCGGCACCGCAGGTGGAGGATTAGCCTAGTGAGCCACGGCGCCGGCCTCAGTATTTGTTTGCAAGTGGAAGTCGAAAAAATGACTACAATCTTTTTTTTTTTTTTTTTTTCAAGTTTCAAGCTAGGACAGAGATTTCTCAGCATTTATTGCTGTTTTCTATACCTCAGGTGTGAACTCCCATTCAATCTAACTTTAACCCCACCCACAATAGCAGTCTACAAATATTGTGATGATTCAGTCTTTAATCAAATATATGTCTTTCCAAAACCCAAGAATTCTGCAAGTCAAAAACAGGTAAGGCCAGGGCCAGCATTGTAGCACAGTGGGTTAAGCTGCCACCAACAGGGCATTCCATATAAGCATCTTTTAGAGTCCTCCTTGCTGCTCTATTTCCAATCTTGCTCCCTGCTAATGCACCTGGAAAAGCAGCAGAAGATGGCCCAGGTACTCTGGCCCCTGCACTCATAAGGGAGACCCAGATGAAGCCCCTGGCTCCTGGCTTCAGCCTGGCCCAGCACTGGCTATTGTGGCCATTTGGGGATGAGACAATGGATGGAAGATGGGTCTCTCTCTCTCTCTCTCTCTCTCTCTCTCTCTCTTCCTTCCTTCCTTCATCTCTTCCTCACTATAACTCTACCTTTCAAATAAATACATCTTTTTAAAAAATGAGTAAGGAGAAGGTGAAATGATAATGGAAAGCTTACAAAGTATAAAGAAAATATATTCACATTATATTTTTGGAGCTATTATTTCCAGATTCTTTCAACTCTTTTTCTCCCAGATTATTTCAGTATCTTTCATGAATTCTTAATCTCTCTTGGGTTACAATTCTTTTTTTGAAAGCTAAGCTACATGGTTTTATGAAGTCTTTTGTGTTTCATAAATGTTGCTGTTTGACCTAGTAGAACTGGCATACAAGGAGACTTCAAAAAAAGGTACTTTCAGGCTGGCATTGTGGCTCAGTGGGTTTAGCCACCTCCCGCAGCACGGGTATCCCATATAGGCATCATATCAAAAGTAGAGCAGCCGGGACATGAACTGGTGTCCATTTGGGATGCTGGCATCACAGGCAGAAGCTGAACCCATTGTGGCGTAACACAGGCCCCAGCAATTAAAATTCCTAATTTGTATTATATTTGCTCATTTTAAAACATGGTCATTCTGTTATAGGGAACTTAACAACAACAATAACAAAAAACTACCATCAAAAAGTTTTACAAAGGATATATCCTGGGGCCAGCGTTGTGGCCTAGCAGTTAAGTCACCGCCTATGACACTAGTGTCCCATATGGGCACCAGTTCAAGTCCCAGCTGCTCTACTTCCCATCCAGCTCCTGGCTAATGCACCTGGGAAAGTAGCAGATGACCCTGGCACCTGGGCCCCTGCCACCTACTTGGGAGACCCAGATGAAGCTTCTGATTCCTGCCTTCATCCCAGCCCAGACCTGGCCATTGCAATCATTTGAGGAGTGAACCAGCAGATGGAAGATCTCTCTCTCTTGCACACTGCCTCTCCCTCTCTCTCTGTAACTCTCCATTCAAATAAAAAAGTAAACCTTTTTTGTTTTTATAAAATGAACATATCCTAAGAGAACAAAATGAATTAGCATTTGTGAAAATTCTAAAGGAATATAGATAATTCAGTATAAAAAGTGAGGGGCCCCGCGCCGTGGCTCACTTGGTTAGTCCTCCACCTGCAGCGCCAGCATCCCATATGGGTGCCGGGTTCTAGTCCCAGTTGCTCCTCTTCCGATCCAGCTCTCTGCTGTGGCCTGGGAGGGGAGTGGAGGATGGCCCAAGTGCTTGGGCCCCTGCACCCGCATGGGAGACCAGGAAGAAGCTCCTGGCTTCGGATCAGCGTGGCACTGGCCGTGGCGGCCATTTTGGGGGTGAACCAATGGAAGGAAGACCTTTCTTTTTGTCTCTCTCTCTCTCTGTCTGTAACTCTACCTGTCAAATAAATAAATAAAAAATCTTAAAAAAAAAAGTGAAGAATAGGAGAAATAAAATTCCCATAGCTGATAGCTTTTTCTCAGTGTTTTAAGGCAAACGAAGAATAGAAATATCTCCATGGATCCAATATCTATTAAATGATGAAGTAGATTACTGATCCTTACAATGCAGCATCTACCATCTAAGGATGCTTTTGTTGTAGTGACTAGTTAGCAGCTCCTTGAGTGTAAGGTGCACATCATCATCCCCTTTGAATTTCCGGTGGCAGGTGGCAGCGTAGGAACTCACCTAATGCTGGGTGATGATGAACCTCAGCACAATGCAGAGCTATCTGGAGGGAGCCTCAGTCTGTTTCTTCTGCCCCAGCCTTCATTTGAGTTCACGTCTAGGAGACAGCTAGTGCGAGTTAGGCCACTGCTTCCTGTACCCACATTCCATATCAGAGTACCTGGGCTGGAGTCCCAGTTCCGCTTCTCAACCAGCCTACTGCTAATGCACCCCGAGAGGCAGTAAATGATGGCTCAGGGGCTTGGGCCCCGACCACCCCTGTGAGAGACCCAGGGAGTTCCTGGCTCCTGGTTTTGGCCTGGCCCAGCCCTGGCTGTTGCAGCTTTGAGGAGTGGACCAACAAATGGAAGTGCTCCCTCTCGCTCTCTCTTGCTCTGCCTTTCAAGTAGATGAAAATAGACAAACATGTTTAAAAAGTTAATTTCCAGGGGAATAAAATTAAAATGTAACATTTGAGAAAAGTTCAGAGAAATTAAGAGTATTCTGGGGGAAAAATTGAATAATCTAAGACATGGCTACCCAGTAGAACTTTACAAAGATAGGAATGTTTTATGTCTGAGGTGTCCAGTATAGTTATCTCTAGTCATATGTGGCACTTAAGCACTTGAAACATGACCAGTACAACTGAGGAATATAATTTTCAATTTTGTCAGTTTTTAAATATCCACATCTGGCCCATGCTTACCCCCTGCACAGTGCAGTTTCAGCAAAAACCCTTCATACTTTAAAGGGTCTTCCTTCATTTTTGAGTGTACATGATAATATGTGTGATCAGACAGAGATACTGTTTTTTATAGATTTATTTATAGACCAGACTTCCTTGATTTTGTGCTGAAATGTTTGTACTTTGTTTTCAATAAACCAGTTTTCAGGAAGGAATTAGTTTTGCTTCTGTCACTGATGCACTAGACACTGCCACACTCAGAGCGTCTGTCAGGCATTTTAAAGAAATGATGATGGAATTCTTCCCCCTTGAATCTATGTCTTGTCTTGGAAGTGGTAGACAGTTTCTCTGCTACATTTTTAAATTTTTACTTTTGGTAATTTAAAGGAAGTGTGAATACTTACAGGTCAAGACTGGAAGTCACTAAAGCAAGAATGAGGACTAAATTTTCAAGGCACAGTGATTTTCTTTAGGCATTAAGCTTTTAAGTAAGAATGAGGAAGGAACCACTGCTTGCTGCTGTTCTCCTATCTCCCAGGATACTTCTTTCTCATCAGAATATTGCCCCCTAAAAGAGACAGCTGGAAAAAAATATCAGTCTATCTTTGCTGACAGCCTGCCTGTCTGTTTCCTTGAAGGTGCAACCAGTCCAGTGTGTGATGGGGAGGGAAGTCTGAGCTCTGGGCAGGATGTTGCATGTTTTATATGTTCTTCTGTCTGCTCCACCCTGGCCCCCTCTCCAGTTTTGGCTTCTGGGTAAATGTTAGCTAACAAAATACAAATAGCATGCAGTTTACCAGTGACAGGCTCCTTCAGAGTTTCCTTAGAGTGGAAGGCATTTGGCTTAGTATAGACACTGCTGGGGGTGCCCACATCCCATATTGGATTGTCTGGGTTCAAGTCTCCGCTCACTTCTGATTCCAGATTCCTGCTAATGTGGACTCTGGGAGGCAGCAGGTAATGGCTCGAGTAGTTGGGACCCTGTCACCTGGATGGGACACCTGGATTGTGTTTTGTGTTCCTTGTTTTGGCCTGGCACAGTTCATGCTATTTGGGGAGTGAACCGGTGCATAGAAGATACCTCTATCTGTCTCCGCCTTTCAAATTAAAAGAAAATAAATAAATACTAATTAAAGCAGAGGACTTTAAACCTTTTTTTTTTTTTTTTTTGACAGGCAGAGTGGACAGTGAGAGAGAGAGACAGAGAGAAAGGTCTTCCTTTGCTGTTGGTTCACCCTCCAATGGCCGCCGCGGCCGGCGCGCTGCAGCCGGCGCACCGTGCTGACCTGAAGGCAGGAGCCAGGTGCTTCTCCTGGTCTCCCATGGGGTGCAGGGCCCAAGAACTTGGGCCATCCTCCACTGTACTCCCTGGCCACAGCAGAGAGCTGGCCTGGAAGAGGGGCAACCGGGACAGAATCCGGCTCCCCGACCGGGACTAGAACCCGGTGTGCTGGCGCCGCTAGGTGGAGGATTAACCTAGTGAGCCGTGGCGCCTGCCTGACTTTAAACTTTTTAAAAATAACTCCTTAGAAGTAAGTCATTCTGCCATTATTTTATTTAATTTATCACAACAATTTAGCTTTATCTGTCATCTATGGCAAATGACCCTTGAAAATGTCTAATTATACACGTCTCATTTTTTAGCTCCATTCTCTGTAAGTGAAATATGTGTGCTACTTTACAACCAATCTGCATGCTAATAACCAGTCTTGTTATACACCTTTATCTGAAAATCTCAATACTTAAGTATTTAAAAAGCATTT